TTGTGCTGCTTTAAGCTTCCTGTAGAGTATTCTTGGTGGAAAGGTCATAAGAAGTTTACATAAATCTCCCTGAATCGTAGCGAGTAAGCTTAATTGTTAGCGGTACATTGTAACCTGATCCCCGGTTTACATTTATTTAAACACTCTCTCCAGAACCCTGACAATCCTAATTAAGCCAGCTTTAATTATAACCTGTTGTTGCACCATGCAGCGCTTACCTGAATGACACATCTTGACTTGACCTTAGCACAACACTGCTAACTCTTAACCCCTTAATTTTTTAGATCCCGGCACATTTCCCCAGATAGAGAGATACTTTTGTAGATGTTGTTTTTACATTGCTTAGCTTTGGTTTAATCCACAAATGCATGTAGTCTATCTCTGGTATGGATAGGATTCCTATACACAGCTGTTGCCAATCTAATCCAGCTTGGCCCAATTTAAGTATTGACATGTCAGACCTGATTGACCACTGAGGATCCTGTAAAACACTGTAGTAGCCGGAGGTACTACAGTGCTGGCCACCATCTTTCGGGTCCTGCATGTTTCCGTGTTGAGTGGCTTCCCCTCTGTTCAGAAAACACCTAGTATTTTTATCCGATGCATTCTCGAGGGGCAGATTGACCTCGCCGCCCCTAGTCCATTTGGAGAATGCCTTGTATTCATTGGGCTATAGTATCAAATACAGAAAAATAACCATCGATCTGCTAGAAATACACTGTGCTTGTAACCTCTTGTGTGGGTGTTGTCAGCCATGCCTGCTGGACTACAGAACACAGCCTATCCCCTGCCACTTTCTGTCCCCCTTCATACACCTACATCAGTTTCTTTTCCCAAAAAAACAATACTGCTGTCTTGACTCTCCAGAGCCTGCCCACACACTGTGTAGGGAAAGGACTCTTGAGCCATGTAGTTCTGGGGGTGTGCCGACATCAATCAGAACTGAGCTAACGAGAACTTCCCCTGCAAGAGTAAAATTAGATAATGTCTGGACAAACACTTTAATCAAAGAATAAGCTCACCAGTCTTTTATTTGAAATGTTGTTTACGGTTATTTTAAATTCATTTCTTGGCCCATGCTATAGTTCGATCATTGTTTCATATCAATACTGAAAATTCTTTGATGGTATTTTTAAAATTACATGGCAATTCATATTTATGTATTAAGTATTTGTGTGCTTTGTAGTATTTGTTGAGGTGCTTTCGATGCATCTAAAATGATGTTTACATTTAATGATATAAAGTTTCAATGAATAAAGATAAAGTGAATATATGACATGCAATTTGTACAGTAAACTTTTGTATATACCTTGTGATTTTGTGCTGTTAACAGATCAATTCCTTAGTGCTTTGTAAGTCTTTTATACTTGACTAATAAGCGTTTGAAAACAATTAGTGCATCTTTCAAACAAAGTAAACTTGATTAAATAATTACACTAATAATGGGCAGTAATGGAATACGAAGGGTTATCTCAAAGCTAATCCCTGAGTAATGGAATTGGTATATCTCTGATTTTTCTCCTTGCCATTCCCAGTGTACAGAGGAAAAAGACAAGCAGTTATGGGAAATAAGGGGGAGCCACTGGAGGCCAGTGCAGAAAACGAGACCTTATCTGAAGCAATTAATCAAGAAACTCATATTGTGGGACAATTATTCAAAGCTAATTCTAAAATAGCTTTAGAGCCCCAGGTCCTGAGATACTTTTCCAGAATTTTTTCAAGGTCATTGAGAGCAGCGGGGCAAGTCCTGCATAAAAATGAAGGAGTCACTTGAGCTAGTTAATGGTTTTATATTGTATTCCTGTTTACTACAAAACATGTGTGATGTAAAAGAGCTGAACGGTGTGACTGATGGCAGATTGTTTGTCTTCCCAAAAGGTCAGTGCTGGCAGTGATCTAACATATGAATAACTGGTGTATTTTTTTTTTTGTAGCAGCAGAAGATGATTTGAATATCAGTCCCATTCTGAACTGTTATTTCAGTTTTGTGTGGCTGTTATTTCTAGGGATTTCAATGACACAATTTCCCTTTTGAATTTTTAGTTACAGCTATCCATCACTGACATTAAAGGCTAAATAAGAGTGCTTTACTCCCCCGTTGGTTTCTTTATCAGATAGAAAGAAGAAAAAAGGATCCATCTGGAAGAGTGACCCTTTAATATGGTCTTGTGGAAGTGTTAAAGAAGTGGCAACTCAGACTACTGTTTTAAGTGGAGCAGGCCTTTAATTCGTGTCGCTTTAGTGTGCTATTTGTCTCTACAAGTATGTTCCATTAAGTTTATTTTTTTCTTTTATCAGCTACAGTTTTCAGTAGGGATGCACCGATACTGGTATTTCGGTATTGAACACAAGTACCAATATTTGTTTTTCAGTACTCGCCAATACCGATACCGGAAGTCCCATTAAGGAAGCAAGGCTGTGTGTATTGACTCGCCACCTGGCTTCCCAATTAGCAGGGAAGCCGTCCCCATGCTTCTCGTCACTGAGTGACGAGAAAGCATAGAGCCGGCTTTCTGGCCAATCATTAGGTGAGGAGGGAGCATGAAGCCGGATTCCCGGCCAATCGGAAAACCAGGCGCCGCGTCATTACATGCTGCTCGGCTTCCTGTTACTGGAAGTATTGAGCCAGGAATTGGAGCATTTGGGCGAGTACTACTTGGCATCGGCACAGATACCGATACTATTATCGGTATCTGTGCTTCCCTAGTTTTCAGGTTGTTAAACAATTTTGTTGTATAGTATGATTGCCAGATGTATACACTATTTTCTCTTGGGGTTATTTTCATGCTGTAAATACCACATCAAAACAGTTTGAAAGAAAATTATGACATCAAAATTCAAAGGAATTATGCATGCTAGTCCTTTTTCGCACATTTTTAGTGCTCTGCTGCGTTGAAACTGCATTGCATATGCAGTTGTGTCTGTTTACAAACTGCTCTTTTGTGCAAACCACCTGTATTAAAGGTACCCATAGCTGAGTTGACCATTGTCTATTCTGCTGTTTTTTTGCCACCAGGCAACAGTCTATATGGGTGTCCACAGATCTTCTGACCAGCTACCGTTGGGGCAACAATTGATCGGGCAGGTTATTAAATGTATTTTGATCAACATTCACCCCCCATTATAAACAGGTGGCAGCCTCCAGCGCCTCACTCGCAGACAACATAAACTTGAAGACTCTTTAGCATATAAGGGCTGTCGGATTGTATCTGAACACCTGACGGTCTTAAATCTTTGGCCATTCTACATTTTTGCAGTTCTTAGAGCTTGACGCATTGTATTTTAAAAAAAAATGTGCAAGCACCTTTTTTGGTGCATCTGGCAGTCCCTTCAAATGATTGAGCTTCCTTTTACTCTGTGTGTTAACGGACTGCAGTAGTGACAAACCCTCCCTGAATATCTGCATACCTACCAATCAGGTTCAGAGTTTTATTCTCCAGCTGTCATTTCCAGAGCGTTACAAATATTTATTCAAGACGCGCCAGTATGATTTATTTTTATCTATAAGCCAAGAAAGTGTGTGCACTGTGTTGTCCTGAAAGAAATGACTCCTCCTAAACTTGTGCGCAGTATGTTACCATAATCACAAATATGATGATTTACGAGGCCAATTTATTGTATCTGGCAGGCAGTGAAAATGGGTGGATGTATCCTTTATCATAAACTATATCATAAATAACCAGGTGCTTTAAATTCTCATGTGGTGTCAGCAGCCAGTTCCTGTAAACATCCTGGTCTGGTGTGTAGTCATAGAAACCCATTGCTGTTATCTGGGCCTTCTGCCTTTATGTGATATAACGGCATTACCATATATATTAGTCCATTCATAATGTTAGGTGGCATTCTTTGTGTGTGTGTAAGTATATATATGCAGCATTTTTTGGGGGTACATACACACATAACCACAATATAAACCAATATATATTTGCATTTGTTAGAAATGTCAGAAGTCTCTATTTCTACAATTGTTTTTATTGCAGCAAATCTTTGACAGATACAACGTGTCGTGAGCGGTCTGATATACTTTAAGCTCAAATTTTAAGAAAACCACACACAATGGCTGTTTAAAATTTATAGGGGGTTTTTATATTACTCGCCTCTGTCATAAGCAGAGGCTTAAGTGGTTATGATACCATTATTTACTTTCCTTCTACAATATTTTTGTATCTACAATGCAATAAGACGTTTTTTTCCCCACATTATATACTACTGTTGAAGTCATATTGTTTGAGATACTAGTAGACATTGTATGTGCCGTCTGACATGCTATTCGGATAACTGTCAAGTGTGTTTGTGGAGGAACAAAGCCGCAGGCACACTTGACCTTTGGCAACCTGGAATAATCTTTGGCTAGACTGTTTTTGACCAGCAACATTGCAGATACAAGCAGGGCACTGCTAGTCACATTTGCATTTTTATAATGTGATACTGCCTATTGTGGACAGGTCATTTCCTTATAACTTCATTTTTTTTTCTTTGACATTCGTAAAGTCAAATTGCAGATTTTCCTTAAAACCAACATTTTATTTTTAATTCTTTTTAAGCTACATAGGTGAGATCTTTGCACTCTAGTTTCTAGCATTACCCATGTGCTGCATTGATCTCGCTCTTTGTTTGAACTAATCATTGAGTTTGTTGCACAGCAACAGTGAAACTCTGTTTACAAGAGTTCCTCCCTTAAGAGATTATAAAATCCCTTAAGAGATTATAAAATCCGCCCATGGATGATTCCAATCATTAGTATCTCCTAAACACAAAATATGTTTTGGGTGGCCTGGATCTTTATTTTTTCACTGAACCATGCAGTTGTCAAAGTTGGTTTCAGAGTGTTCAAATGTAATGTTTTGATTTAGTTTTTATTCTGATTTTTAGTGTTGGGTTAAAACAAATATATGCGCAATATTAACAAGTTTACACACTTTTTCAGTCCATTTTTCTCAATTTTTATGGTCTGCTTTTTTTTGCACACGTTGTAATGCTTCTTTTTTTTATTATTACAGAGGAAGAGGAGGAGCAGGTGCCTACAGATGGCGGGACATCAGCTGAAGCTATGCAAGTTCCTCTTGAAGAAGCAGAGATGGATGATGATGAAACTATTAATGATGAAAACTTTTTGCATAAAAGACCTTTGGAGAGTCCTGAAAACGAAGAAATGCCTTTTGCAAAACGACAACGATTAATGAACACTAAAGGCGATATTTTAGATGGAACGTTAGAACCACGAGAACCACTTAGTTCAATAAATGCTCAGAAGGTTCCTCCTATTGTTTCACCCAATCACATACAGGACAGTTCAGGATTGTCTCTTCCTGTGTCAGAGGCATTAACAATGTCTCCTATTTTAAAATCCCAAACCCCCTCTTCCAAACATTTAGAATCTAAAACACTGACCTCAAAATCTAAATCAAAAGGTTCACCAGGACAAAAAAATAAGTCGCCCAAATCCACACCACTCACCGTTCTTGGCAGCCCTTTGCGATCACCTAAATCTGGTCCAAAAGAAAAGAAATCTCCTGGACGTGCCAAAAGTCCTAAGAGCCCCAAGAGCCCAAAGGTTACTGGAGCTTCTGGTCAGCTACCTGTAAAGTCAGAAACACCAAACCGTACACCACTAGCTGCATTAAGTGAAAAAATAGGAAAGGATAACATACAGATAAAGCAAAATCAAATGCAAGATTCTGAAAAAGTAACTGCAGAAAACCTTTCTAAGAAGCCATTAGTGGCAGATAACAACACCATTGAGGATTCCATTGATGCTGTGATTGCGCGTGCTTGTGCTGAACAAGAACCTGATCCATTTAAGTTTTCATCGGGTTCAGAGTCTGAGAGTGAAGTATTTACTAGTCCTAAGAGACTTACTATAGCAGAACCTGCTACACCTAAAATGTCAGCTTCTAACAGCAGTCTTGGTAAGACTTGCAGCACGCCACTCCCTGGTTCAGGTGGCACTTCCAGTTCTGATGTTTCGTGGACAATGGATGACTCCATAAATGAAGTCATTCGAAAAGTCAACCAGGAAACGCCATCAAATAACCCCATCAGTCAGCCATGTTTCTCTTCTCCTTCAGCCTCTCCTCCCACTCCTGAGCCACTCGTCAAAGTGTATGAAGACAAAGTTAAACTGGCTTCTCCTCCTCCTGTAGAGCTAAAGAAGAAGGCAAAGAAAGAATTAAAAGCAAAGATGAAGAAGAAAGACAAGGAAAAACAGAAGGATAAAGACAGGAGCAAGGAAAAGAACAAAGACAAAAAAGAAAAGGAAAAAGATAGAGATGGTAGCAAAGATTCAAAACTTCAATGGAAGGACTCAATTAAAGATGAAGATTCAGAAATCCACAAGTTAAAGATAAAGGATATAAATGACCCTGACTTGAAATCAAAGCAAAAGGAAAGCAGTGGGAAGAAAGATAAGGAAAAGCATAAGGATAAAAAGAAAGATAAAGAAAAGGGTAAGAAGGAGAAAGAAAAGAAAGAAAAGGGAAAAGACAAGAACAAAGAAGAAAAGTTAAAAGCTTTACCACAGACTACTGTTTTGCTAACACCAAAAGATCTTTCACTTCCAGTAATAAGTACTCCCAGTGCTGTCAGGCTACCCTCTCTGATGCCTTCTTTGTCACCCTTATTACCTGAAAAGGTAGTTGAGGAAAGAGAGAAAACGAAGGAGAAGGATAAGAAGAAAGATAAGAAAGAAAAGAAGAAAAAGAAAGACAAAGAGAAAGTAAAGGACAAAGAAAAAGAGAAAAAAGAAAAGGAAAAGAAAGACAAAGATAAGGAAAAGCATAAGCATGACAAAGTAAGTTTGTTCATAAATGTGCGGCATGTGTTTATGGGGTATTTGCATAGATTTGGACCTTTAAAACACACACATTCATGATTTAGTCCCCTCCTTGTGATACTGTGAAGAGGCCCTGCCACTTGTAACCTTTGGTTTCCCAAATAAAGAAGTCCTAATTCCAATTATTCCAACATTCTGGAAAATCTGAGATTTCTATCTAGCAAGCAGGTAGGCTGTTATTACTTGATCTCTAAACTCTTTGCTGCTCGGTTAACCCAAAAGCTTCTTTAGTTGGAATCCATAGTTATAACCAAATATCAGTAACCTTCAGAAATAGGTTTAAATTATTGTAAGTGAAATCCAAGTACTAGATTCAAAATCTAGCTTCAGCATGCGCTAAAACCAGAAACTGCAAGGAATCTAGCATTTTCAGCATAGTTTGTCAACAATGACAGCGTTACTATCTCTTAGTACAGGTTTCCTCCAGGAGATGAGGGATGTAGATTCATGAAGACATTGTCTTATCTGGGAGAACAGATGGTGCTAATACAAGGTTTTCCCATCTGTCTGAAGTTTCCCCTAAAAGCAGTTGACCAGTGGATGTCTGTTGCTGCCATGGGGATGAGATGTCATATAATCCATATGAAAACAGCTGGATTAGGTGAAGATTTTGTTTTGCTTTATGGATGAATGTAGATTTATAAGGACTATGGGACAGGTATGACCCAGCCCTGCTTAGGCCCCATTATTGGTTGAAGGGTACACACAAGTAACAAATTGGCATGTTTAAGCCTTCATTTCTGTAGAGCGTTGAGAAGATGATCTGTGCTGGCAGCACTGAAAGTGGCGTTTTATTACGGGGGTGAACCATAGAAATTAGGGATGCACAGATACGGTTTTTTTTTCAGTACTCACCAATACTGATACCAGAAGTTCCATTAAGGAAGCTGGGTGGCATGTAATGACTCGCCATCTGGCTTCCTGATTAGCCAGGGAGCTGTCTCCGTGCTCCCTCGTCACCAGGTGACGAGGAAGAATGGAGCCGGCTTTCTGGCCCATCAGGAAGCCAAGCGGTGAGTAATGACTCGCCGGCCGGCTTCTTGATTGACCAGCTTCCCTACCAATCGGGAAGCTGGATGGTGAGTCATTACACACTCCCTGGCTTCCTGATTTGCTGGGAAGCATGCTCCCTCGTCACCAATCAGGAAGCCGAGGGGGGTTTCATTATCCGTCACCCCGGCTTTCTGATTGGCAAGGAAGCCAGCTTCCTAGTGATGAGGGAGCATGGAGCCGGCTTCCCGGCCGATCAGGAAGCCAAGTGACGTGTAATGACTCGCTGCCCGACTTCTGATACCGGAAGTTCTGGTATCTGGATAGACATCGGGAGCGTTTGGGTGAGTGCGGTACAAATATTTTACCAGTCTCATTATTTTTTCCCCTTGATAGTTAACGTATGGGAACCATAGGCATGGGATTATCACTTAGTTTGATGTTTTAGACAACTCTGGTCTATGGATAGTTTATGGACAGTACAATGCTCGACAGAAAAATTTAACTTGCAAACAACTCCTATTCCCAAGGTGGCTGTCTGAAGTTTCTGTCTGTGTAGAAATAAACCATAGGTGGAGTTTATATTCCTAGAAATTACTTTCAACTGTTTGACTAGATAGTATGCCTGCTTTTAAGACTACTGTGTGTACAATTTATCTCAGATACATAGCAGTGTGAATGTGAAACTCTTGTAGTCCTTTTTTTTTTTAAGCTTTAAAAAGGAATGAGAAAGAAACTGAGAAAAGCAATAACAACAGATTAAATTGACAGGACTGCCCACTAGCCATCAGAAAGCGCAGTAAAGAAGATAAACTGTAAAGCTGCCCTGCTTGAAGAATTCCCATACTGAATTAAATTGTTAAACGAATAGCAGATAAGTGTTTCTTTAAATCCACCTTTCTCCTGCAAGTCAGGATTTTAAACTGGTCCCTCTAGAAACTGCAGGCATATTTTCCTAGCTTTTTGCTGCTCTGCTGGTGTTTTGGGAGCAATAGGGAGTTAAAGCCTTATCAGTTGGTGCCCTGAGGTATGTGGCTAGGCAACTAAATCCATGAAGATTAGCAAAAAATGCAGCACATGGCGGACAAGGGTTTATAAGGCTTCTAGTATTAGTTCAGGTGAAGGGAGGGTTGCTTATTCATATAACTGAACAAATCTACTCTCAATGTATAGTGAGGTAGTTACATAAGTGTGTCGTATTCCAGTGTTATGACTTTATACTGATTTGGACAGCTTTGAAATAACACTCCAAACTTCAGTATTGAAAATTCCCCACAGACCAGTTGTCATCTTAACTCATGATAGGTTCCCATTTTAAAATTGTATACAGTTTAGAAAACATATTTTTGATGTTGGCACTCATTGAACCCCATCATTACTGCACACACTAGCAGTTCTGCACAAAATGACTTTACCGAGCAAATTTTCCACCATTTACGTTTTTAGCAACTAGCAATTTAATCCCCTTTTGCATATACACATGTGTAGTAGTAGTTGTGATGACAAATTGTGGTAATGGAAGAAATTCTGTTTTGATGGCCTTGAATCTAGGTTGGAGTTTTTTCATTTGTCAATTTTTGGATGTGTAAACTATTTGATAATGACGGGGACAAATTTTGTAAACTTCTTCTTCTTCTTCTTCTTCTTCTTTTTTTTTTTTTTTTTTTATAGCCTTTAATGTTTATTTCCACTTCTGCAGCCAAATGGGGATAACACCCATTTTTATGCTTCCCATTCACATAGCATAACACAGCTCAGTTTGACTTTCTAGTTTAACTTTCACACTGCTCAGAATAGCATGTAATCTGCACAAAGGTCTCCACCAATGAATCCACTAAAAGGTAAGAAATATATCTTTAAGGGCCCATTCACACCAAAATCATAAGGAATTTGCAAGTCAATGGAGGGTTAATGCTGCCATTTACCTACGTAAGGCGGTCCTGAAGCTTTTAATTAACATGTCCCGAGTGGACAAACTTCTATATTCTTATTTTTTTCTACTTCCATTGCGTTGCAATTGCATCCATTTTTATTCTGTTACTTTAAGTTGTGCTGAAAAAAGTACAGCATGCTCTACTTTTTTTTTTTTTTTCATCACACTGCAATAGAATGCAACAGAGCACAGCTGCCCCATTCACACCCATACCTATTTTAGTGCCCTTTCGTTAGTAATCGTTGAAAAACTGATTGCAATGCTTCTGGTGTGAATGTGGCCTGTAAGTTGTTTTTAGCTATACTGTGTGGATGGGAACACACAACAAACCTATAGAGGAGTTTTCTCAAATTTGACTGCAGAAGTGGAACTACAATTTATAGCAGACCTGTGTTCAAGTTCACAAGCCAGAAAATATATACATGATATAAACACATAAAGGCTTCCTTAAGCTGGCAATACGCAAGTAGATTTTAAGATTTAACTCCTGAGTTTAGTGTCACTTTAAACTATTTACGTATTCTTAAGCAATATAAGAAATGTACAAGCCACCCCTGACTTCTCCTTCTGCTTTTGAGAAGTTATTTCTTCTCAAAGGTCCCCAAAGTTAGTTTCAGTGACTTTCTAACCGTTTAAGCTGTCCATACACCAATGGAATTTTATTCTCAAAAAATTTAGTTTTCAGAACGTTCTTTAAATTTTCTAATAGTGGTGACTAATGACCTTCGTTTTTGACGAGAATAATCAATCGTATGTAGAAATCAATGGAGAAGGATTTAATCATTTATTTATTTTTTTGTTATCTGAATTAAATTCTGACAATGAATGTGATTTTCATTAATGAAAAATAGTACATATGGTAATGAACATGTGCTAGGCATTAAATAGATCTGTTTAATATGTCTGGGGTTCCATTCCAGTTGCAGGGCTGAATACAGTTTTTTTATAAGGGTTTCAAATTAACTTAGTAATGATGAACTTGGACTCCGTTGAACCTTGAAAACAATTTGTATCTGATCCTTCTAGGTAAGGAGGTAAATTAGGGCTGTTTTTTAAAAGTGCTTTTAGTGGTTGTTCAGAATATGTAAATACTTTAGTATGCTTAGTCTCTGCACAGGTTCACTTAAAAACAAGCCTTCATTCACAGCTGTATCTATAAGCATTGTGAAGAAATTGTCAAAGTTCACAACACAGCCATTGTGCATTTCTATGAGCCTGCCATCTAATGTAAATACACAGCATTTGTTTCTAAACTATTAGAACCTGACTCTACAATGGACATTTTGCTTTTTGAAGAAACAGACAATATTTAATTAATCTGGCCATTGCTTCTTTTTCCTATAGCATGCTAGCAAAGCAAACTGAAATCTAAAATGTTTCTTTTTTTATGTCTTACTGTGATTTTATACCATTAATACATAAATAAATGCTTATTTTATTACTTGGCCTACAACCTAATCAACATGTACTTATTTCAGCAGGCTAAAGTGGAGTTACCTATTCCTGCCCCTTCACCTGTAATTCCCCGGTTGACCCTTAGGGTTGGTGCAGGCCAAGACACAATGTAAGTATTATATTGATATCTAGTTTTGTAATCTATTATTGACAGCAAAGGAGGGAATGTACCATAATGTACCCGTTATGTAAATTTCTGGAGCACATACTATGACAGTATGACCAAGGTGGCTGCATAATCACCCCAGGTAAGAGACTGTGTGACTATATCTGCAGCAACAAACAAATGTTACAAATCTGGTGTAACAAAACAATCGATGGCAACCGGATGCAAAATTCCATACAGCTTCATTACTGTTCCTTGCTTTTCTCTTTCCACAGATTTTGGTATGGTGTTAGAAAATTATCTGAAATGCCAGGAATCGTCTGCTTATTACTCAGTGACTTTTGGGGCCTGTCGACAGGCTTTGGGGTCAATTACCTCAGTTTAAGACTCATTCAGAATTGTTTGAAAGGCACATTAGACCTACTTCAAGTGGATTTTTAATTCCTATAGACTTGTATGGCAATGCAAAACCCATTTAAAGTGAACAAAAACCTGTCCCCGGGCCTTATAGGACATGTTTACTTATCTTAACTTCTAGTGAGGAAGGTCAGTAATTTGAAAATACTTTACCTCATGTGAATTCTCTATTCAACCTTTTTGGGAAGGCATTGAGATAAACTTCCCTAAAACTGCCTTAAAGATACAGTAATTGCGCAGAGAGGAGAGTTTATAGAGGCTATCATTAACCCCTGCTTTTGGTGTGGGATGTTAAAAGGAAACACATAGGCTTTGCTTGCTGCTGATTCTCGATATTACTAGTTGCCTGGCTATCATACTGACCTAGGGGTGGCCTGGAATTCAGACTCCAGTCTGTCCTATCCAGGACCCAGCTCCATTGACTACAACTAGAGAAAATCTCAAAAGTTAGGTGCCAGCTGTAAATTGTAAGAAGCATTGGCTACCTGGCTTGTGGGATTTGTCCAGCCCTGTACTAACCCCTTTCTTCATTAATTTAAGTCACTGTATTAGAAGTATGCAGATAAGGACCTCTGACTTCAACTTGTCTTCCGGAATATGTATACAGATCAGGATCAGTGGCTCAAAGTATTGAAGCTTGAAGGTCAGCCTTACAGATTGGTCACCTAGCTTTTTCAGAGGGTGGTCAGCAATGGCGGCCTCCATATTACTTTAATGACAGGCTTACTCGATAAAACGTCTAGTATGCTCTAAAATTTTAGATTTACCCTTTAAACTGTTGTACTTAGTGTGGGGGAACAAAAACCCCAAGAGTCCAGACATATTTAATGTTTAAGCTCAGGGTATGAGTGTATCCTATGTAGACTTTGTTATGCAGGTATTTCATTTGCTGACTTCTTTTCTGTCATTTTCTGTTGACTGAGATTGTCTAATCTATATTTTGCTTGGGAAAATAGTGCGGTGCTTTTTTTGTAAGCTACAGAGAAAAATTATATTTCAGCAATCAGATTGTACTGTACGCTCTGCCATTTACAATAGCAGCATTTGCCGACATACCAATTCCGGGGCTGCCAAATTAGTATTTCAGGGAAATTTACTGGATTCAATTCTAATGCAATTAGACCTCATTTGGTTCCCTAAATAAATAAAAGGTCAGTCTGCAAATTAAGCTTATCTCTGGCCACAGCTTCCATAAATTGTGTTTTAATGTTTTAAATAGATCTTATCCATAATGGGTTAGGTGGTGTTAGTTCATTTGGACTTAAAATATTTAAGACTGCTTCTTAATGTTGTATTTGAACAGTGCATTACAGCTTTTTCTCTGCACGGTTATCAAGTCACTGATCACTAATTGATTTAATGCCAGTAGGTGCTTAAGATATGGCATCTACTGGGCACTCAGGTACTTTATGTAGGAAATGGGTTTCACACATAATGCAAATTAGCAATCGCAAGGCAAGATTTTTCCTGTATTGGCCATTGCTTCCTACAAGAGGGAGAGAATATAAGTGGTTTAATGCATAGCAAATAATTATTTGTCAAATGTGACAGTTCTTGAAGTTTGCCATTAGTTTGATACCAGTAGATTACCTTTAAGTCTAGCACTAAAATACTGTGAGGCTTTACTGCTGTGTTTTTATTGGCAATCCGGGAGATTTCCCTTCACTTTTTATCCCTCAAACACTGAACGACGTGAGGGGAAATCTTCCTAAAGTAAATGAAAATCTGATCTTTGTTGGCTGTCCACCAGTACACATGGCCCAATTGAAAGATATTTCCTCCAATCCTGGTAAAAACAAACTTTTTGGATTTTCTCACACTTTCTGTTCTGGTTACATTGGCCTCCGGGACATATAGGTAAATAAAAAGTTTTGCTTTAGTGTTTGACAGCTCACACGTGTGTATGTATGTATAGATATGTATGTATAGATATGTATGTATATATATATATGTATATA